AACTATGAATAAAATCGAGTTTAGTATAACACCAAAATGGTAACATAACTTTATTGTAAAGTTTAATTATTGTTATGAAATTGGGTAGTTGATCTCATCTTTTTTTTTTATAAGGATGGTTGTGAATATACAGAATAATTAGGACTTGTCCTTGGTGTGGTGTTAAAGTTAAACAGATAGGTTTAGCATTCGAAAATTTCTAGAATGTTTTGAAATTATTAAAGGAAAGTCAGTTGTTCATCGCAATTTAGAATTAAACGTTTTATTCTCTGACATAAATTATTTGTTAATATGGTTAAAATAATTTTTATTTTCGCCTGTAGTCACGACTCATGCAAGGAAAATGAATTACTAACTATAAGAAGTTGTTGTTGTAGCCCAAAGCTACACCACGAGGAATCGAACTCCGGAATTTAGAATTATAAGTCGATAAACTTACCGTTGACACACAAAAGGACGATTGACGTTCAGTAATATATCTCTTGTTTTAACATGGAAGTTTACAACTTTGACTAAGGTTTTACAATGTATGATTTGACATAATATTTTAATATTTGCATTCAATCGCATTTTTGTCAGATTCAATGATCTTTGCTGAATTTATATTGAAAACCTTATAGACCAATACAAAAAAGTTGAGACGTTTCGTTAGGTAATATATTTCGAATGCGACCTCTAAGAGTGATACAATATAACTACACATCTATGTCGGGTAAACAAATATAAAGGATAAACGTGTTCTGTGACCAAGCTCGAGCCCGCAAACTACAGATTAGAAGTTCAGCGCTCTAACCACCAGACCAATTCTAGACCTATTCCACCAATTTCGAAGGAAGTCGTCGTTAGTTCAACTACGTCAGTCTTTTGGATATTATAGCGAGTTTACCTTCTTATTCATAAGTGTTAGATATATATCCATTTGAAAGCTAGTGTTTAAAATCTCATTCATTCAGAATTTTGAGGGTTTACAAAAAGAGTGATGAACGAACATGATTAATCCGCAAGGTGTGTAAAATGTACATGATAAAAAACAAAAGTAAATTCTATTGTAAACAAAATATATAAATAAAGTTAATAAGGTACTTTGTATTAAGTACAATGCTACACAGTAGGATGTCTGAGCTGTACCCACCGCAAAAACTCCAAGTTTTATACTTGATCTCAAAAGATGACTATTATATATTTCTAATGCTCTCTACTTGATCCCACACAATAATTGTTATCTAACGTTACTAATGTTCTCTACTTGATCCCACACAATAAGTGTTATATGACGTTACTAACGGTCTCTTCTTGATCCCACACAATAGCTGCAATATAAAATTTCTAATATTCTCTATTTGATCCCATATAATAACTGTTACTAAACGTTATTAATATTCTATACTTGATCCACAGAATAACTGTTATATAACGTTATTAATGTTCACTACTTGATCCCACACAATAACTGTTATCTAATGTTACTAGTGTTCTCTACTTGTTCCCACACAATAACTGCTATTCTTATAATAACTGCTATTTAACGTTACTAGTGTTCTATATTCGATCTCACACAATAACTGTTATATAACGTTGCTAACGTTCTCTACTTGATCCCATACAATAACTGCTATTCTTATAATAACTGCTATTTAACGTTACTAGTGTTCTATATTCGATCTCACACAATAACTGTTACATAACGTTACTAATGATCTCTACTTGATCCCACACAATAAGTGTTATATAACGTTACTAGCATTCTATACTTGATCCCACACAATAAGTGTTATATAACGTTACTAG